GACTCATTTGTATGAAGAGACGAAAACAAGTTGACCTATCTTTATTTTGTTTGGAAGTACTGCTCATTGGCATGCGGGTCTTCGGCCCTGCTTGCAATAACATATATTGCACTGGGTGGCGTGGACACACATATACATCGATGTCCCTTCAGCGTTCCCGGGAGAAGATGGGAGAGGAGAGGGAAGATAAATGTACGAAGCAAACTATACTTTTATTGATGATTCTCTCGTCAGTCTACAGCAAGCCCACTGCTGTTTTTGGTGGTGCCCACCGATCGCGTTACAGGACTCTCCCGCTCGTGCCTTTGGGACGCATCGGACTAACGACATTTCCCTCTTTATCCGAACTACTTTAATGGTCTTAGTAGACTGTTTTTAAAATGAAAATGACGCTCGCCGATGAGATTATGGCAATCATTCGTCCAGTTGTACCTTTGGCTACAATTTATTTTTCATCATTTTAGTTTGCTCTGCAAAGGAACTACAACAAGTTAAGGGCATGAACTACATGCACAGAAACCTACTGCGGAAGATGGAGAACTGCACGTCTTGGGATGGTGATATCATTCTCAATTGGAACTCATTCCTGGGGTTAGTTTTATTGGCGTTGCGAATACTCCTATTGTACATTTTCATGTGTATCCTTACAGTCTAGTATAGGGCTCAACACGTAAATTATACTTCCCGGAATGATCTAATACGACACTGTTGGTAGTAGGAGTTACACCGGTCGAACAATAAGGGAGTACCTGATAGAAAATCAAGGAAATATACCAAGAAACAGGAAAAAAAATACATAAAAATGTTCTACCGTACAGCAATGGCAAAACGTGCGACAATTGAAAAATCAATTTAAAAATAAACAATAATCAATTATAAACTAAATTTCCACAATAAAATTACCTAACCTAATAATAAATTGAATATAAAAATACCTTACCATTACCAGTCGTCAATTAGTACAGAATTTTGGTCTTTTTGTTCCCATAGTAAGCCCTATAATAGGCTGTTACCCTAGCGGGTTGTTTTGTATCAAATAGGCCCCCGTAGCGAATATCGTTTCATGAAAACACACACAAACAGAATTTGAAAATAGGCATCCCGAGAAATATAATTTAATAGAAGATATTCTTCGGGAAACAAGAACAAAATTGATAGTACATTTTTGACACTAGCACACCAGGTCGTCTTCGGACGCGAGGAAATTGTGTGAAGAGCAGTTCAAATTTTTAAGCGTGTCAAAATCGATAATGCTGTGTCATCCGTGGTCAATAGCATGTTTAATGGTTGGCCTTTTCCAGGCTTTTTAAGATTGATGTACATTAGATCCAGCTCAACGTGCCTGTTGATGCACGATTCGTCGAAGTTGATGGCTTCTAAAAACTCGCGGCATTTCTTGTATGGGCAGGAGCCAACAAGGCAAGTTTCGTTCCATGCAAATTAATGTCCAGTTTCTATTGTGTGCACAGCGACCTCGGACAAGTGATATCGTCCCTTTACTGCTCGTTGATGCTCATGTAAGCGTGTGGAGGCCGATCATCCTGTCTGTCCGCAATAAACTGCATTGCAGCCGCTACAAGGGATTTTGTAAATAACCTCTTTTCTGTCCAAATAGCCAACCCTATCCTTAGGGTGTACAAGCTGATTTCGCAGAGTATTCGTTGGTTAATGCACCACTTGGACTTGATACTTCTTCAGGTGTCTCTTGACGAGTTCAGACACGTTTTTAATCTATGGAAGTTTTCGCCAATTTCTTGGATTAAGTGCTTGATTGGAACATTCTAGTTCTTTTTCTTTTTGTTTAAGCTCTTGTCGTTTCATGCATCGACGCACGAACTCTGTGGGGTAACCGTTTTTTGAAAACAGTGTGAACAGGTAATTGAGTTCGGCTTGGTAGAGGTCGGGGTTAGAACAGTACGTTCTTGCTTGATACATTAGGGTGATAACAGCACTCCGTTTGTGAGCAATAGGGTGGCTGCTCTTGTAATGAAGGATAACATCAGCTTAGGTCTTTTTGCGGTCAGCTGATGTTTGAAACGTTCCATCAGTATTACGCTGTACGTAGACATCAAGAAAGGGGAGTTTACTGTTAATTTCTTTTTCGAGCGTAAATGTGATTCCAGACATCGTTGGATTGATAATGTTGTGTAGTGTTTCCATTTGGTCTTTTTTAACGATGACAAACGTGTCATCAACGTAGCGTACCCACAACTTAGGGTTAACTAGTGGTAGGGCTATAGTTTCTACTTTTCGCATCGTCATTTCGGCCAAGAAGCCTGAAATGGCTGACGCCATCAATGTCCCTTTTATCTGTTTATAGCATTGTTGAACGAACGAGAAAGTAGTTTCCAAACATAGATCTAAGAGTTCAAGCAG